CACTGCCACTCCGGGGGAGCTGGAGAGGCTCTGACTTCCTTCCACCACCTCCCCTCGCTGTCCCAGGGTGTTGGGTGGGATTCCTGTGCCTTCCCTCTCTGCAGAAACTCAGGAGAGCTGCTGGAACTGGGAGCCCTGACCCCCTTTGCTGCTGCAGGGGCATGGGCAGCCTGCAGAGCCAGAGCTGCCTGGGCACAGGCGATGCACTGGGCAAAATTGCTCCTGTGTGTGCACTGAGCCAGAGCTGCTGCCAGGAGTCTGGCGCTTCCTTTCATGCCTTTTATCAGATCTGCCAGTTTTCAAAGGGTAGTTAGACCTCAGTAGTGGTGGAGCATCGACCTGCTTGGAGATATGATTTTTTCCTGCAGGATGGGGGCACAGCAGTAACTCAGGGCAGGATATCATCCTTGTGTTATCAGAAAAAGAGCACAGAAATCTGACTTTGAACGTGCTCCTGGCTGGGTCCTCGTTTGAATTAGAGATTTGCTCTGTGTAGTTGTTGGGAGGAGGAGGAAGGTGACTTTGAGCCTAAATCATGGACTGGTTTGGGCTGGTTTGGACAAGGTGGCCTGGGATGATGTTGGCTCTTGGTCTGCACTGCAGTATGAGCTCCAAACACCCCTGGCCCAGAGGAACCCCAGTACCCTGCTGCCAGGGTTATGAGTGCCCAGCAGGCACAGCTCCTGGTCTGTGTGTGCCCTGGGCCAGGCACAGCATGTTTAGTGTTGGTTGGGTTCTGATCTCCTCTTTGCTTGGATGCAGTTCAGGTACTGACAGCAGAACCAAGGTGGGACATGGCACCTGCTATATTGGCTGAGAGACAGCTGCACAAAACAGTTGTTACAGCCATTCTGCCCTTGTCTTCCCTCTCCCAGGAGGCAGCTCTGGAGTGTCATTTTGGGACAGACAGGACGTTTGAAGCCCGGTGGGTGAACTCCTCTGCTGTGGAGTGCGTACATGTGCTGGTGAGTTGAGGGGTGAGGCTGCCATCCCTCCTTCCCCCGTGGTGAGGGTCAGGTCTGAGGGCAGGGAGGGTCTCACCCCCATCCTCCCACCTGGCAGTGGGATACCACTTGCTTTCCTCCTTCCCTGCTGAGTTAACCCCACCAGCAAGAGGATCTCTGTATGTGCTGATGCTGGCAGGACATGCACAAATCTTGAGTGCCATGTTCCCAGTTCCTTGGGGTTCTGCAGTGGCTTTGGTCCCTGCTCCCCTGGGGCTTGGGAAGCAGCTGCTTGTTTACCTTTCTAAACAGGCAGAGTTCAGTTCAGGCAAAAAAACTTGGCCACCTTTCAGGGCTGCTATTTCTGTAGCTTTTATTTTGGATGAGGAATTGGCCTGAGAAAGCACTGTTGCTCACTGGAGAGCGGTGTGTGGCTGTCAGAGGGCAAACTGCACCTCTGAAATGCAGCAAAGGTTTGGGCTTCTACCGGTGGGAATACTGGGAGTGGGAGCTGGAGAGGAGCACTTTCCCATCACGTCACCTGTATCGCAGCCCGGCACTGAGGCTGCGCAGACAGACCAGGCTGTTCGTTTTCCTGTCGTTTCTGCTAAAAATAGCAGCAAGCCAGGGCTCTGCTCTCGCTGCAGCATGCACCGTGTCCCATGCCCTTCACTGGGACCTCAGCAAAATGATTCAAACAGAAAACAGTCATCCCTCTCCTCCTGCCAAAGATGAGACCCTCGAGTCTGGGGGAGCAGCAATCAGAGAAGCCTCGTGAGGAAGGTTAATCTGTGTAGTGTGTGTATGGAAGCTCCTGTTTTACTGAATTTCCTAAGTTTTTGTTTATTTTGTTGTGTTCAGCTCCACACATCAGAACAAAGCCATCACTTCCCAGTGAATCTGCAACTGAAGGACAGACCAGACCGATTTATTGACAGTCCAGAGATGATGACAGGTCTGAGTTGAAAATATTTTTATGCTCCTTTTTATCTGGGTGACTTGAATGACTCGCAAACCCTGGCAGAGTTTATGGGTGCAGGAGAGAGACCACAGCCCTGCTGGGCACAGCTTGGTTCTTTCTCTCAGGCACATGCAGGGAGATGTTTCCCTAGAGTTGGCCCCTGTGAATGTGATCCTGGAGCCCAGAAGGGCACCCACAACATGCCTGTTACAGCCAGGGAAAGTCAAACCCCATCCACAAGCGCAGGCAGCACTGCCAGCAGCACGTGGGACAGGCTGTGCTGGTGCTCTGGGTCACAGCAGGGATGTGGGGTGCACCCAGGACTGGGGAGGAGCTCTCTGTATGGCTTGGGGCTCTGCAGTGCCCTTGCCCTGGGCTCTGGCTGGAGGCAACATTCTTAGGTTCCTTCCTCCCTTGACAGTGTCAGTGGTTGTGGCAGAAGGGGCTGATTTACCTGATGTGCAGAGGAGAAGGAGAGCCCAAAGGGAGGTTTCCTTTGGAGGATGTCTGTGACAGGGAGACAAGACACAGGCACTGACAGCCACTGACCAGGATGGAAAGGTTTCCCCGTGGCAAATCCCCATGTAGGAAGGAGGATTATCTTGTAGAGTAAAAATACCTGGAAATACCAGCATGAGATGTGGCTTCCCTGCAAAAAAAAAAAAAAAAAAAAAAAAAAAAAGAGGATGTGCATAATTTTGCAATGCAACAGAAACCCCCAGGAGAAGGGAGGGAGATTGGTTTTTGGATGTGCAGCAGAAGACTCAGTTCTCCAT